AAGGTTTTATTAAATTTGCCCCCCCCCCCCCCCTCCCTTATTTCATCCAGTGTTTTGGTATTGTTGTTACTCGATTTTGTTAAATGGTGAATTCTATCGATTTCTCCTCATCATAAGCACTTACTAGTGATTTCATGTTCGATAATAACGACTTCTATAGGTGAAGGTAAATGAAAATTCGTTGAAAAACATGTTAGACTGTCTTAGACAATAACAACTTATGTACATAAGTAATCATTATGAACTTACGAACTTTTGAACATCGATAACTTTTATGGTAATTCAAACTAAAATTAGTTGGGATGGATCTCATAGTTATCATTGAATTCCAACGGGAGAGGAGGGTGGGGGTTGTATCTATGGGTGGAGGAGTGTATGCCAAAAGTATCATGGTTATACACTTTATATACATCATTGTATGTATATACCCAACGTATATAAGGTGTATAATATTACATAATGGGTATAAATTATGCATATTTAGTGAAGGGAGGGGTGGTGATGGAGGCGAATCTATAATTTATAAAATAAGAATGTATTAGGTGGAAATTGATCCCTAGCCAAGGTAATAATTCAATACTTAAATTAAGTGCACTTTTTAACATTCTTGTAGTATGGGAGAACAAATAATATTATACTCATTTTTTAAATATACATAAAATATCTAATTTTATTAAAAGACTATGAATTCATGTGTCTGTATTTTGGCCTTAATTTCGCTCATGATTGGTAGCTCATATGTAAGGGCAGAGCTTGGAATGACCTAGGGGTTCATCCAAACCCGCTTCGATAGAAAATTATAATATTTATACATTGTTAAAATTATTATTTTTTATATGAATATAGTAGATGTTGAACCCCTTTATTTCCTTCTTGTGTTTACTGCTTTATATATTAAACTCCCTAAAATAAAAATCTTGATTCTGCCATTGTTCCTTCTCCAATGACTATGACTATTACCGTGATTATGTGGTTATTTTTCTCTATCTTCTTGTCTATTTTGTGAAACAATTCACCTTTAAAACAAAAGTTTATCATCCCGACATACAATAATCAATCAAGGCTCGGAAAACAATCAATAGAAATAAAAATCTAAGAACACAAAAATATACAATTACAACCAATACTTCGGAAATGAGAAAACAAAACACTCAATTGATTATCTAGTAACCAACTATCCTAATTTTCAATTTTTGTATCGTCCTTTCAAGGATCATAACCTCGGTGAACTGAAGATGCGTCATATTCTGCCTAATCACCCACCCCAATACTTCTTAGACCCAACTTTACCCCTTCTCAAACCCTTGACAACCAACCTCTCACACTTCCTTGTTGCGTCATCCACACATCTCCTCTTTAGATATAGAAACTATCTCAATCTTACTTTTCACATCTCAGCCTTCACGAGGTTCACTTTTCCCTCTCTTGATGACAAATCCTGAGTAACTGATACTAGGAACCGATTAAGTAAAAGAAGAAGCATGTCATAAGATAAACGACAAATAAAGTTCCAATAACGAATTACTTGACTAGATGGATGAAGGGAAATCGATATTCAAACTATTTCAATCTTACTTCCTGCATCTTATCGTATCCCTCTTAATAACCCCACACATTCATCTTAATATCCATATCTCTACATACTCATCGTTCGAACATGAGAGTTTTCGACTAGCCAACTCTCTTGCCCCGAAATAATTAACCATGTTCCTCATGTAGGAAAAAAATTAAAAATTATTTGTAAACTAAACGACAAAAAAAGGTCTACTTGTAATCCAGCCGATATCCAACTCATCTCTTTTTCGGTGTCGGCCATTTTTCTCCTCTTTAAACCGCAATTTTTCCGGCCGATCAATTCTCCTCTTTGTTGATCTCAATTTTCGATTCTCCGATCACTCCACAGATCCGATTTCGAGTCACTTCTGAATCGGATCCGGGTCAGATGGCGTCATCACGGAGGCTCCGAGATCTTCAAGCCCAACCGGGGAACAAGATCTGTGTCGATTGTTCTCAGAAGAATCCTCAATGGGCTTCAGTTTCGTATGGAGTTTTCATGTGCTTGGAATGCTCCGGTAAGCATCGAGGGCTTGGGGTACATATCTCGTTTGTCCGATCTGTTACCATGGACTCATGGTCTGAGATCCAGATCCGGAAAATGGAGCTTGGTGGTAACGAGAGTTTCAACAAATTCGTGTTACAGTATGGGATTCCGAAGGAAACTGATATTGTTACCAAATACAATACAAAAGCTGCTACTGTTTATCGTGATAGGATCCAATCCCTAGCTGAGGGAAAGCCCTGGAGGGATCCACCAGTTGTTAAGGAAGTTTTGGGGGGATCAGCTAGTAATAATGGTAGTAGACCACCGTTGAGCAGCGGCGCAAGCGGCGGCGGCAGTAGGAATGGTGGATGGGATAGTTGGGATAATAATGATGATGGAGGGTTTAGTGGTAGTAATACTAAAGATATTCGGAGGAATCAGACGGTGGGAGATTTTAGGAGTGGTGGTAGTAGTGGTGGTGCACCAGCTAGGTCGAGGTCGACTGCTGATATCTCGAAGGAGCAGTATGAGGCGTCAGCTGCGAATAAAGATAACTTTTTTGCGAGGAGAATGGCTGAGAATGAGTCCCGGCCTGATGGGCTTCCGCCCTCTCAAGGAGGGAAGTATGTTGGGTTTGGATCAAATCCTGCCCCAATGCCTAGGAATAACATGAATCAGCAAGGAGATGTTTTTTCTGCTGTTACTCAGGTTATTCACCCCTTCCCTTACATTTTACATGTTGTGATTTGATTGAACAGAAGTTATATGTGAACTTACTTATATATTATACTAGTGATAGTTGAAAAGTAATCCGGGTAAGGAACATCTGATCAAAGTTAAAAATGTGAGTAGTTAATGAATTTGAGTTCCAAAGTTGTATAGAATTTGTCAAACGTTTTGAGATATATGGAAATAGTGCGTATATGTTGGGACACAGGTAATATTATTATTATGCATAAAGAGTAAACTGTGTGTACCTGTTCTGCTGTGTTGTTTTATGTCTAGTTTCTTATAGCTGATCGGGTTGCGATGTGGTATGTGTAGGGATTTGGTAGGTTATCTATGATAGCTGCAACGGCAGCACAGTCAGCTGCAAGTGTGGTTCAAGTGGGGACAAAGGAGTTGACTTCTAAGGTATTTTGATTCGACTTCTGGATTTAAAATTAATGGTTATGTAATTGTGTTCTACTTTACATACACTTGCTGTTTTTAATTCTCGAGATATGTCTTGATTCCTTTTTTTGGGTCAAGCAAGCCTCTCTTGCCACTAGCCAACTCTACTTTATAAGGTGGTTTGTTTCTGACTTTCTCTATATCAATTTCCACGGCCATACTTGTTCTTGCCGTCTACTTTGTGACAATACTTTGTAATTAGACTCAACTAAGAAAAGGCCATCCTTGTGTTCTTTCCATACCATCTTATTTGGTACTAATTGCTGTCCTTGGAAGCTACCTATCATCTGCAGAAAGAGGGTCATTTCCTCCATTTCCCTGTCATCTCATTCCTTTATAAAAACAAACTTAATGACTGAGATGAGATCTGAATAATTATGATTAAGTCTTTCATTAAGTGCAAACAAATGAAGCTCAAGTATATTTATCAGGTAACGTTTTGAAAGTGGGGGAAGTATACCAAGGGCACTAGAGAAAAATGGGGAGTTTTGCAAAGAGCTCTGGTTGGTAACCGTTGTTAGAGGAAGAGTAGAAAATGGAGTAATTAAGTTATCCAAAATGGACAATGGGATATCCCTGTAGTTAGACGATCTGCATGGACTCAAACCTAACACCAGCCAACAAAGCCATAGTTGGACAATCCTTATGTTGGCCGTAGTTAGCTTGTAACGGTCAATCTGCACAATTCAAGTCCATAGTTAGACGGTCTTGATGTTGGCCGTACACACTACAATGAGTACAATCAGCCACCTTTATTCAGGCTTTGAGCCGATTAGCTTTGTGAAGCTCAAATATGTGAACATATAATTACTTAATTAGTTAGGTCTTTGTGAGTGAATTATCCACTAGGATTTTCCTTTAACTTTCATCTCCAAAAAGGTTGCAGAGCGAGGTATCAGATATTTAGTTCTAGTCAGGAACCATGTAAATATTTTAACTCTATTTATTAGTTCTAGGGTTGAAGACATGCTACCTCCCACAGAGATTCATGCTGTCTTCTGCTATTTTATGTAAGCTGGGTTGAGTGCCGTTCGCTATATCATCTGAACAGAGACTTAGGGAAGTAAATAAATGATTATCTTGGGTGCTATATCATAAACAGTGTCCTTGCATCTGCAGTCTCACCAATGTTTCTGCGTTTCTCTGCTATACCATTGTTACACACCTTATGTGGTGCTTATAAAAATATGTAACATCTGATACCTGTATGGATCAGTTCAATCCTTTAAATATACAATGTTCCTTTTTTGTTTTGTTTATTGTCCATAAATTGTCTGGGACAATACTACACTTGCATTAGTGAAAGAAGGGTGCACTTGCATGGAATTATTTAGACCAATGGGGTCCCTATAGTTCCTACGATATATCTCTATAGGAGAAAAGAGTTGCTGTTCGATGGATAAAATACCATTCACTATCACATGTTTTAATTGAACCAGAGTTTACTTCTATTCTGCCAGAAATATATTATTTGGTGTACACGTCCATTCTCTATGAGTTGGAGTCTATAATGTTACCCTGTATTCCATAGGCATGAGAATTGCCGTTGAATGAATCAATTGGCTATTTTCATCTGAGCTGGAATTCTCTCTCTGAAGTTGTTTATGTGCTTGCTAAAAGTCTGCTCTTCAGTTTTATTTATTTATATTTGCTCTTTTTTCAATTTTTCATCAATCATATAGTCTACTTTTCATCTCTGGTATGTTGTTTAGAAAATGGAGCAGTGTAGTTAAATGATAGTTGAGATGTGTGTGCCAATCCTGTTCTTTCAGGTGAAAGAAGGTGGATATGATACCAAGGTTAATGAAACGGTCAACGTTGTCACGGCAAAAACAAGTGAGATTGGACAAAAAAGTTGGGGTATCATGAAAGGAGTCTTGGCCATGGCTTCACAGAAGGTAGAGGAATATACCAAGGAAAGTCCGGCCTGGAAGAATGATAGCTGGCAACGAGGTGAAAGTGAAAAGAATGGCTATTATCAGGACTTTAATCAGGATTCTAAAGGATGGAATGCTTCTGGAGGAGCCCAGTCCTCTGGAAGGAACGTTAATTCTGTTAGCTCTGGGTCATGGGATGATTGGGACAATGAAGACAAAAGCAAAGTAAATCCTACAAAGGCGGCAGCAGCACCCAACAACAAGAACGATGACTGGGCTGGATGGGATGACGGCCAGGACGATGGATTTGATAATCACTACCAGAGTGCATCCAACAATAAACATGCTACTGTTCATGCTGGAAAATCAGATTCCAAATGGACCGATGGAGGTTTCCTCTGACGGCAGTACATGTTATAACTTCCCTTAGTTATTTTTTGCCCTTCGAGATTCAATTTTCTCCATGTCTTTTTGGAAAAAAAAAAAGGAATTGTGTGTCTGAATATAGTTGATATTTGTACCATTGCCAGCAGGTTGGGTTAATCGCTCCTGCTGTTAAAGAAGAAAGAGCCAAAAGCACAAACAGAATTAGACTCTTGTTGAAGACCATTATTCGGGGCTAAAAAAGCGTTTAGGCTACATTTGGATTTGTAAAGACCATTTTTGTTTCTGTTTCTGTCCTATATATTGGAGATTCTTGATTATTATGTCTGATTTATGTGTGTTTGCATATGGACATATGAAAGATCTTTGGATAAATGGCTTTGGCAGCTTAACATCTTCATCTGGCTCATGAATTGTGTGTTACAGGGTTTGATGTGTTTTTGTAGCCATCTATGTCATTCTGTGTGAATTGTGATGCAACTAACCTTCTGTTCATGCTTCTGAAGTTTACTCCTTGTTACTATTTAATATCGCCAACCAAATTCTGCATAATTATGCGATTTGATATTATGCACATATTACATATTTTTTCGTCTTTTCCATTTATGTTGATGGTGCCAGTGGTTGCATCATATCCGCTTTAACTACAAGAAACCCGGAAGTCTGTGTATAATTTACATAAATCCCATAGTGATAAGAGCTAATTACATTATTTTTCTTCTCTTTTCTAAATTACAAAAATTCCTTAAATTTTATGAATTTTTGATACATAACTAGACTTCCAAACAGTTGAGAGGGGAGTATGAGGGATGTATCCGAGAGGGGAGATACATTACTGGACTTCCAAACAGTCGAGAGGGGAGTATGAGGGATGTATCCGAAAGGGGAGTGAGGTATGCAAACAAGTTTTACATATCCCTCCCCCAACTCCAATGTGTTTATTAGTAGTACAAATAATCCAATGATAGTTGGTGGACAAGGTGGTTTTTATTGTCTGTTCCATTAGGAATCGCATAGTTCTTGATACATATATGTGACTACGAAGAAGAAGCAAGAACGCATGTAAAAAGACGTAATGGAAACATAACGTAATTTTTTATATGAGATAATCACATACTTTCAACATATTTATTCATTCTACACATACGGACGAGACACATCAATATATAAAATTAACTATTCTTCAAATTCAACTGCTAGAACTAACACCAACAACATAGTTCTACGAGCGTGCATGGTGTGTACACATACCTTATCCCTTTCATGAGATAGGAAGTTATTTTCAATAGACCCTCGACTCAAGAAAACGCTACAACTAACACAAATTTAATAATATCTTATTACTTCATATCAAATGATTCACACAATATCCTTATCAATAAAGCTACTAGCCACTTTTGAGTTCCCAAACTTAGCTTCTTGTTGTTGTTGTTGAATCACTAGAACAGAACTTTTTATCCCTTTGTCTGATGAAGCCAACAAATTAGCCAATGGCCCAAATTCTGAATTATTCAATTGTTGCTCATCAAATAGTTTTGCCATTATGCCTTGTGGAAACTTACTTTTATTATTCCCTATTATCATAAGTTCAAATTCTCCACTTTTTCCAATTTCCAACACTTCATTCACCAAATTATTTGCTTCTTTCTCACTATATACAATTTGTTTACCCCACTTCATCTTGAATTCTGCAATAGTAGAATCATCCAAAGTCCTGTTTGGAACAAAAAACAACACATAATACATCTGTTAGGATCAAACGTTTATACCATCATGCCAAAAAGCTATAGCTGGTAGCATGACCGCAACTTTAGGGTCAATCCAGTCCTCTCGTGGACTTTGTCATAGGCAGGATATTGGCGTTATCCGACACTAATAGACAAATGCATATATCTAGAAGAGTTAATTTTACCTTTCAACTTCATCAAAATTAGTACTTCCATGATGAATGAATCTTACTAATGTAACCCTAATAGCAGGATGTTCAACCATTCTACTACCAATTTCCAAAGCTTTACTACAATCAGCTCCACCAAAAAACACAATGCAAATTCTCATCCCATTATCAACCAATTGTAATCCACGATCAACCACCACCGCCACCGAGCACCACGCTTGACTCATCACTCTCTCATTTGCCATCCTCCATCCGTGCCCTATACGTCGAGATATCAAATTTAGCTCATGGAAATATAATTTAGATTTAACTAGACATATATTTATCGACTAGTGTCATTTTTGACATAGTCCAATTAGTCATCTAATGTTTGAGACACACCTAGCCTACAATTGACCATAAAATTAACATAGAATCAAAACATAAAAAATTTAGAATTTTTTTTATTGTTTTATTTGTTTAATGTAATCATGATATAAATAATAGGAAAAAAAAGAACTTATATTGTTTGATTGGACTCAACTCATTTGTTAGTTTGACTATCTTTTTAACATGATGTAATTCAATCGGCTCATTTGACACTCTTATGGTCTTACCTGCATGAATCTCCACTTCTTCATTTCCTTCCATTTGCCAATATTTATCGAACGGCAAAATAATCAGTTCAACTCGTTTTTTCTCCGCAACATGAATAATATCCTCATCCAAATCCGATAAACCCGAGATAGCCATTGTGGGTCGGACTATGACCTTTCCTAGCGTGCTATACGCCTCGAACGCCGCGCCCACTTGATCGGTCGCGTCATCTCGGAAAAGCACTCGGCCGATGAACGGAAAACCATTTTTTCGGGCACGTTGGACCATCGATATGGATGAGAGTCGGTCGGTGAACTCCACGAGTCTCATCACATAGAGTTTTGTGACTGAGGCGTAGTTATTGTTATTTTTTTCAGACCTTAGTGACTCGATGAGGTTAATGAGTGCACGTGCATCCCTCGGGCCACGTAAGCACGCTAGGATTCGAAGATTGTTTTGTTTTTTGATCTTTTTTTGTGGTTTTTCGAGTTGAGGATTTTGTGTTGATGATGGTTTATGAATAGCCATTACTATAGGAGTTGTGATAAAGGTTGTAAAAAGTGCCATGATCACCAATATTGCAAACGTCTCATCGTCCAAAACCTAATAATGGAGCAAAAAATTAAAAATTAGTTGTCATATATAATTGTCAAAAATATAATTGAACGGTTTAATATATTAAAAATATAACATAATACATCAAAAGTGTACATATAATTAATTCCAAGTAAAATGAGTAATTATCATTATTCAATTGCGACTCTAATTAACTTTTCTTCTTAGAGTCATGTTTGATAGAGAGGAAAATATTTTTTTGTTTACTATTTTTAAATTTGATAAGCAACCAGAAAAATATGAGGCTCAATATTGGTAAATCGAGAATTAAAATGAGTGTAGTTCTGATTGATATTATAATTAAAAAAACTTAAAGTTAAACCTAGCTTGGATCCATTTCTCCCTAAAATACTAGCTCTTGAAGTGAGACTGCTCGAAATCATATTAAAAGATCAAATCATCATTCATTGAGTCTTATGAGAGAATTTTATTTACATTTATATTATTTTTAATCAGTTAAAAAAGAATGTCACTTTTCTACCTTAAAAATTATTTTCTTTTATATATTCAATTTTTGACCCTTAACGGTATATACTCTTATCGCCATAGAAAAAAACCCCGACATGTCTAAAATGTATCATAAGTTTAAGTGTATTTCTTATATACGATAAAAGTTTCTTTGCTTTTTAAATTCTATATCTGGTCAAACAACATCATATAAAGCGAAACACATAAAAGTAAAAACTAACCTTTTTCTCCTTTCCAATATTTAGAACAATTAGCTCCACCAACCCTTTTGTATTCATCAAAAATCCAAGTGCTAAAGCTTCTCTCATTGGCATTGAACACAACATTATTCCCACAACAAAAGTCCCCAAAACTTTGCCTACACAAGCTGTGGACACAACAAGAACCACAAGTCCCCAAGCCTTAACACTATGAATTTGTGAAATATTTGTCTTAATACCACTTGATGCAAAATAAAGTGGTAATAATAATCCAGACACAAAATCTTCAATTCTCAAAATCAATTTTTCTGAAAAGTCCCCATTTTTTGGAATAATTAATCCAAATATAAATCCTCCAAATATTGCATGTATACCAATAAAATCAGTCATAAAACCAAATAACATAACTCCAACTAGGGTTAAACATATACAAGTTTCTTCAACAATATTGTTGTTCCCATTTGATGATTTTTTTGCCACCCAAATCATAATTGGCCTAATAATTAGGAACATAAAAACCACAAATCCAATTCCACTTAGAAAAACCCATAGTGAAATTAAAGGACTATGATGAACTCCTCCTCCTCCTGCTAGAGCAATTGCAAGAGCAAGTAAAATCCATGCAGCAACATCATTGAATGCAGCTGCTGCCATAGCCATTTCACCAATTTGTGTAGTCAGTAACCTGTTGAGACATAATATAATTAAAAGTCCTTACATGAACGATGGTCATACATAATTCAATACACAGTAACGTATGCAGGATTTTTTTAGTAAGCATGTAACAATATTAATATCATATGGATAAAGGGCATGCAATTCAAATATAGTAATAATTAAAACTATATCCTTCGCGAGTTTTCGAAATTAGGGTTTCCAATTTTCCCCCCAAACCTAATTAATCATGTAGGAGTAGTTTCAAGCATATATGATACATAATTTTCACTAAGAGAAGTCTGAATATAAAGAAATAAACCACACATGAATTCAAAAAAGGTAATATATATTCGTACATAAATAAATAAAAAAAGTTGTCTATCCATCGATCTACGCAGTATAATTTTCTAGTAAAGGGGTGATGACTCCACCACAACATCTATGTGACATCTTTTTTGGACATATATAGATCTAGGTTAAACCCTAAACCACCTTTATATAGAGAGAGTGTGTGTGATTTCAGATGAGATGATCGTATAATTGAACAAACCTTAATTCCGCGAGGATTCGAGCAAGAACAGGAAAGGCAGTGATTGAAAGTGAAACACCAATGAACAAGAAAAATTCTCCATATCCAACACTATCAATCCCTTTGATTATCTTTCTTAGAACAAAAGCAACTCCAATGCTAAATAGAAAGGGCAATGAAATTCCAGCAAATGCTATTCCAATAGCTTTTTTTCCACTTTTATGTATGGTGTTTAAGTCCAATTCAAGACCAACAAGAAATAAGAAAAATAATAGGCCTATGTTTGATACACATTCAAGAATTGGAGTACTCCATGATGGAAAAATACAATTTGTGAATGTTTTGTTCCTCCCAAATGCTGATGGCCCAAGCATAATCCCTGCCTGAAAAATACAAAAAAAATGTTTTTTTTTTCAAAAATATACGATCCAACATAAAATATTACGTCATATAGAC